AGAAAAATTGTAGTGTCACCTGAATGGTGCTCAAGGCTGTTGCGAATGGTAGGAATAATCTAGCGCTCCTTGCCACGATGAATTTCGTGGGCTTGGCCTGAATGCATCAGACAAGTAGTGAGCATAAGCAACAACAACAACAACAATTGTTATTCAATCAGCTCTCTGAATTACATTGTCTGTGACTGTTCCGATGTAGTTAAAAAACATTTAAATATATGTTTATTGAGGCATTATGTTGAAGACATTATTAAAAAACTTGGGGGAATTTGCTCAAATATTTCGCTAAAAAATTATTTCTAACATTAATGTTTAATAAATATTAATAATTATTTTATTTGATGCAAACAGGTATTTTGAAACATTGTTAAGTAATATTTTGTGGTTAGTAATGAAAAATTGTTTATAATTTATTATATATATTTCCATTTAGTTACTTTTTGACACAAAAATTACTTAATTTTGGTAGCAAGCTATTATTTCTTACTTTTATAAAGTGTAAAGGTGTATTAAATTTTAAATACTTAAAAACATCATGTTTTTCAATTTTTATTCAAGTAATGGTTTATTCCCTTGACCTCTACCCCCCCAAATGCTTTTTAAATTATAGTATCTGGTTTCAAATGAAATGGTTTAAAAAGAACAATAGCAAAATAATAAAAATCGGTTTTATTTTCAGTTAACAATAAATTATGCAGATGAATATTAGTTAAATTCATTCTAAAATTTACATATGTATGAAATCTGAAATTGCATGCATATGTCTCATAATATTGCATCATCAAAGTGTCATCTGTTTAATCAATAAAATTTAAAATAATTTCTTTCTACTAAGAGAAAATTACAGATCAAGTTTTATTAATTACCTGTTACTAGTAACCAGTAAAAAGACATAATTTGTAATTGTTCATCAGCTGTCATTTCCAATACTTTTCACTGCAATGAAAGATAAAGAAATTTTTCTGTCTTTCTGGAATAATGCATAAGATTTAAATTAAAAAATTCCATTGTGCATTTTATTACAAATTATAAATCATAAACATCAAGTGAAACAGAAAGGGGAAAAAAAAAGAGCTAAATTAGTGTATGAGCAAATCAAGGAGTGAATAAGAAGCAGCCATACAACCAACTGGTCTTCTACTGTGACATCACACTCTCGTGCTGAGAACTTGTAGCTATCTAGAAGGAGGTGGCAGTGTGCTGTTATCCATTTCTTTTTTTCTTTTGGGGAATGGCAGCAAAAAGACAAAAGATAGTTATGAAGGAATTTTCCTGTTTATGGGAAAAAGTATTTAAAACCGTGTATAAGGGGATTGAGAAATTTTCTTAATGCTGCTCCAAAATTTGCAATGAAAACTGAAGCGGCCGTCCTCTTCAGATTGAGACTAGCCTCGCAATACAGAGGGTGGAGGAGTTAATTTGATAAATGAACAGCACACTATTACAGTAACAATAAAAGTACCTGTAAGTCCCCCCCAAAATGTATTATAGATAAATACTTTGCAGATGATGATGATGTTCAAGAAGGAATTCTAATGTGGCTGAGACAACAACCTAAAGAATTGACGCAACTGATACCAAAGCACTTAAAAACAGTTTGACAAATGCATGAATAATTATGAAGATTATATTGAGAAATATAAATAACTTTCAAGTATCTTGTTAGATTATTTTGTAATTGCCTTTTACGTAAGACTTTTACGGCTGCAAATACGCGTATGCGCATGTGAGTAATATGTTTCCGCTTGGGCGTTTAATGTATAACGGACGGTATAAGCTAAGCTAAAATTATCTAATTCAGTTAATGTTGCAGATTGCGTTGTTCCTGAATCTTCGAATTGGATCCGGCTTATTATTTTTTGCAGACTGTTAGAGCAATTTTATAAAAGTAAGCTTGAACTTTCGATTATGTCAAATAGAATTTCCGATATGTATTTACTAATATGTAAAGGATCTACAAAGCGAAAGTATGTTTAGAAGTCCATTAAACAAAAAGTGGAATTGCTGCAAAAAATGGATAAAGGCATATCCTTCGTTTCTCAAACCATTCCGAAATCTGTTTATCAATTTCACGCTGCTCTGCGCCCCGGGGGGGGGGGGGAACGCCGAAACTCCGCGGCGCACAATGAATTGGAAGTTAATCTGTCAGCACTATCCTTATCTTCAGGGCAGATGTTTTTATTTTATTTCACTTATAATTCCTTACTAAATGTAGTATTTCATCTTGATGTACTCCCTCTTTGATATAATTTAAATCAAATTCCTTATCATTATAATTCGCTTCCGATAAAGAAGAAAGTGATACAGAGGTTATTGAAAACGAAAAAATTTTGATTGACAAATTAGCCTGTATCTCGACACAGCAATTATAGGACTTTAACAGCGGAACTTTGTAACTGAAGAAGAAATTATGTCTGTTTATAGAATTAAAGAGAAAGTATTATCACATAAAATGAAGCATCTTAAACAACTTACATTGAAAGACATGTTTAATAAAGTAAACAAATAAATATTAAGCTTTTTTTTTTGTAAATTTTGATACCCTTTAGATCATAATTGTTCTTTATTTCATAAATTACGGTTTCATATTTTTAATTTTATAATTTCTGCATGCCATCTTACCAGATTTAAACTGATGATCTATAGTCCAGAAAAATCGATAATCCGGAATTGCCGAAGTCTCGACGAGTCCGGATTAACGACTTTTGACTGCATTAGTAGTTAAGCATGCTATCTATCTGAAATTTAGTAATTTGATTTCATTCTTAATCTTTGTTATAAATTTATCATCATGGTTAAAGAAATTGCCTTAACATCAAGCTTGAAGTTTTAAACAATTTAAAATTTTTCTGTTATTATGTTCTGCATAACACAGTGCATGTCAGTTAGTAGGTGAGATTTAGAAATAAAAGTAGGTATGACTAATGTTTGACATCGTAGTTTTTTGCAAAAATTCGAGCTATGTTCTTGATAAAAGACTTTAAAATCATTTTTTATTCTAAATTATCATTATATATAGCCGTTTCTTCTCTCATTATTAATATTCTAGGTAATATCTTAAGCAGGTGAAATGGTCGATAAAAAAGGTCCTAGAATGGGGTATCCAATTCTAAGATTTCCACAGTGGTAAGGAGGAATTGCTTACCTTTACATAAAAATTATGGGATGTGCAGTTTCCTATTACAGAGGCACTATCTCTGTCTTCTTTCAATGATGAAAATCACTGAGGCGAGTTACATTTTCATGGAAACACTTTTGTTGTTTGAAATCCTTTGAATAACCAATAAAGCCATGTTATGATTGTGTTGTCATTGTGTGTGGTGTTATGATTGTGTTGTTATTGTGTGTGGTGTTATAATTGTGTTGTTATTGTGTGAGATGTTATGATTGTGTTGAGAAGTCATGCTTATCCATAATTGATGCTAAATCATGCTTTTTTGGGACAGAGTCCTATACAAGCTTTATAATGGCTTTAAAAGTCTCTATCATGTTTACTTTTTTTTGAAGGGAGGAGGAATTTTTAAAATTCTAAAATATTCTGATTACTTAGGCTTTCTAGTTAGTTGAATGCTGGATAGTTGGGCTTTTACTGTATATGTATTAAATAATTCAGATTTCTTTAGTAACCCAGTACAGATTTTACATTATTTCATTTAGTATTGATGCTTCGTAACTAATTAAAATTTTATTGTCAGTTTGAGAAGTATATCAAACCAATTAATTTCTTGTCTAACAGTTAGTTTCATATTCATGCTTAGTTATTATTTTTCTGTGTTATGTTTAAGATTTGTCAGATCTTAATACATTTATAATGCAGAAAAGCATATTAATTTTACAACTTTAAAAAATTTCTTGAATAACTTTTAAGTTATTGAGATAAATTTTTACTTTCTGTGAAATCAGTTTTGCTTTGGCTGACAGTGATTTCACAGTAATACAATTAACTCAAAATCATGTTTAGTAAGAAATCTTCATGTTATTTTATGCTCATTTACATGAAATAAATTAGCAGTGAATACGAAACTACTGTCAATTTCCAATTTACTGGAGTAATACCAGGCACAACATCCTCAATTAGCTCAAATTTGCTATTAATTTAAGGGTAGTTCTAAAAGGCACAAGCAAGAGGAATAATCCATATCATAATTAACAGAAAAACACTTTTAACAATGTGCCTGTATTTTGAGGTGATTTAATCTAAAAAATAAGTTTATTTGGTTTTGTAAATTAAATGTGTATTCAAAACAGGGGAGAGGGAACCCTATCTAAATAATGAATTAACATCCTCTGAAATGAAGGAACTAAACTGTAAGTGACATTAAAGAGCAATATACAAGAGAACTTGATTGTCATTCATGAAATTAGAGTAAAACTTCTGTTAGAACTTTTTGTTTTTTATTGTGCAACGTCTATATATTCCAGAGAATGTACGTTTAAATTTCGTACTGTTATGCATTAGAACAGCTCCCGAATGCTACGACATCATATGCTATCACTGCTTTTATTCATTTTCATTTTCTTTTTGTATTTTCTGTTGTTTTTATACTCATTGTTTGTGATAATTTTCCCATCACTCCACAATATAAAAACCTAATGTTTTTCTTTTAGGCAAACCCTGGTTAATCAGGTATATGTATGAAATAAACTGTGAATTCTCTCCATGTCATCTGTAGGAAATTAAACAGCATTATTATTTTATGTTCCTTCTATAAAGAAAGGACAGGATTTTATGTAGTACTTATTGTACAGTTTATAATTTGTATTATCTTTTGGTGAATTTTATAATTTGTCTTTTGTATAATGAATAATTTCCTGCCTTTAATCAACAAGTAATTTCCTTTGCTTTTGAATTAAAGATTTTATGTGTTGCAAAATGATAATTGATGGAAATTATCTATTTTGAGAAGTCTTTTGTGTTTTTAATTAACATTATTAAACTGCTGCATATTTGTAATTAGGCTTGTGATTCAGTGATGAAAAGAGGATCTTTTTCTCTTTAGTTAGTGATGAGGAAAAAACATCACGTAAAGATCTTTTAGGTAAAAAGAGAGAAAAAAGGGAATCAAAAAGGGATAAAGGTTATGTTGCATTTGAAGGGGAAAGTTCTGAAGATGAAATTGATGAAACAAGGTTAGTAAAAAATACCATGTGAATTCTCTCTCTCTCTCTTTTTTTAAATCTCATAAATTTGCATCAGAAGAAATATCATATAATTGAGCAGTTTTATATGTTTATTATGTTTACCTGTTAAACTGTAAAATTTAGTTCCTATATGAAAAGTTCCTATTTGAAAAATATTCCTTTAATCATATTAAGGCCTTTTTTAACAGTTTGTATTATTTCACCTCATTTGAGAATGCATGTTATCTGAGTATGTATGACTTTTTGCATGAATCAGGTGAGCTCAGGATAACAGCATATTTGTAATGTAATGGTTAAGAGTTAAAGTTTTTTCCAATCCTTTCATATATTCTCTGCAAAACATAAGTGTGTTGTGAAAAAAGGGCAATAGGCTGCTATTTATAGTGAATTCATGTAATTATTTTTTTAGTTTTTAAAAGAGATATTACTGCAACTTTTGTTATATTATTTCAGTGTTTTCAGTGTTTCAGGATTTTTCGAATCCAAATGTATTTAAAATAAAATCATTTCTGAGTTTAATCCATGTAAAGAGATTCAACGTGACGAGGAAAATTCATTACAGGAGATCCTACTCTAGGATGAAATGAAGCTGCTTTACATCAAGGTGCTTATCATCTTTGAACATAATAAGGCTATAGTATCAGCTATTTGTCAACCATAACCTTTGTCACTATGTGCATTTCATCATTGATCCTTACATTTAGATGATATAAGCTGGTTAGTTCAGAATTCATAACAATTTCAAAAACATGATTGTTTTGATTGTATTTCTGAAATTTTTTACATCAGATTTCACTTTGTTTTTTTTATTTATTTTATTTTATTTATTTGTTTTTTGGCTTGTGCAAAGCAACTACAGTAACTAAGTTCTGTCTGCTTGAGAATAAAATCATTGTCCTCTTGGATCATGATCATCTGCCAGGCTTGCTGATGGACAGTATCATAAAAGATGTCAGGATCTCCTGAAATCAAGGCTGAATCACTTGCTGAATAACAGATGTTAGCTTTTTTCCAAAATATGGCAGTTCCCATGATAATAAACTTTCAACTGTCAAGAATTATTGTCTTTAGGATTTATGTTGGTTGGAAAAGGCAGTTAATACTTGTTTAATCAAAAGTAATTTCAAGCTCAGTTTACTTTTTGAGAGCCAATTAATTAAGTTATGGAGATCTGTATTGCCTATTGCTCACTTTTTTACTATTTAAGTTTCTCATTATCTCTTAATAGGTGAGCAGTTAAATAATAAATTAATTAGTAAAACAAAATTACCTATTGGTGTTTGAACAAATTACAAATCAAGTATGAGAGAGACACAAACCGTCAAGTACTAATGGATACCATGGGTAAACTCAAATTAAACCCAGTTGTTCATCACTTTTTCCAGATGCTCAGTTCTCACAATATTTTCTAGTCTCGTATATTTAGCTACTCGGCTGCAAATTCGGTTACTAGATTGCTGCGAAATCTTTACTATCTTCTTTCTTTAATAATTAGTTTATTAATCAGTAATCCTTAGTTTTAAATCTACTTAACTTTTTACCTCTGTGTTTAATATGGCTGCTCTGAAATTGAATTTCAACAGCCTTTGTGTTTTAATTATCCGAATTTCATGCTGCAAAATACTGTTCTTCATGGAATTTGTAATACTAAAAGATGCTAACACTATCTAAACCATGGTATTGGGTAAAAATATGTTATATGTAACTTTTGAGAAATAATTAAGGTAAGTGAAAATTTTAACTGACTTAGCAACCTCTCTGATTGAATCAGCATGAAATTTTTCCCAAAATATTTTTATGCGTAAAAAAAACAACATAAAAGGTTCAGACAAGAATGTTTCAAAACTTCAGAAATTAGGTCTAGTATATTATGCACACATGATCTGTATTATATAGGAAATATGCAACTCCCAAACATAAAGTGAATTGCTTGCTTGCTGTATCAATTTTGACTATTTAAATGGTAGTCTTTGCTTGAGAAAATGAAAATACTTTGGACACCCTTCCTATAATGGTACAATCAATTGCATGAGTTCGAAAAGGGCCATATCACAACCTTTAGGGTTATGGGTCAGTTGTGCTACTGAACAACGTAGAAGAATTGGTATGATGATATTGTCAAAGAGTATTCTTACCAATGCTTTCAAAACAGTGTCCATAAGTCACAAAGGCAGTGGCAGCTGTAGGATAACTTTTGGGGAGGATTATGTGATAACGAAAACTAGTGTAGTTTGACTCTCTGTCATTTAGCACCACTTGCCCATGTCCTCTGGGAAAGTATAGTATCATAAAGCACCATTTCAAGAAGACCTGACTGCATAGCTGATATTCATTGCAATATCTGGTGTTAACTGCTGGGCACCACCATTGTCTCTTACTTAAAATGATATCATGTAAGTAATGATTAGCATTGCATCTTAGCAATGATTCATGGTTTTTCATTGGTTTGTAGAGATGTTGACATTGCAAGGGCACTGCGAGCATCGCCCACAAGAAACCCAGCTATTTATTGCATACTTCATGACATCTGTTTTGGAATGATTGATAAGGAACCAGGCTCGCTTCTCTTCTTGCCGGCAACAGAAATCCAGATGAACATGCATTTCACATGCGCCATCTAATGGCAAACATCACCATTAAATTATCCAACTTAAACTAAGAAAAGCAAGAGCAAGTGCTTCATAGAGGACACTCTGAGACTGGCTAAGTCTAGCAGCAACCAGTGGCATCAACAAGTGACCCTAGGAGGTGACTGAATACTCTGCTACCACCTCTCACTCTCAGACAAAAATAACTGCATCACAGTTGCATTGATCACATGCTCGTGCTGTGCCCAACCAACCAAAGATATCACAGTAGCTACAGCTCACCCCACAAGCCTAATAGCAATAATGCGTGCCAACTGTCCGGCGATCTTTCAAACCATACTCATGGGATTAAAATGGGTTTGCTCATGATGCTACAGGAGCTGTCTATCAAAATATTGCATTTATCAAATTAAGATGCTGTGAGGAGGATCATGGAGGGCATTGCAAGCACAGCACATGATAGATCCGGCTATTTATTGTTCGCCTAGTTGTTTTGGAGTCATCGATAAAAACGCCTGGCTTGTGTGCCCCTAGACCAGCTAAATCTAACAACAACCAATAGCACCAACAAAAACATCGTACGACTTACTGAACTGCTAGTGCTGCCACATCTGTCAAGGGCCATCTTTGGCAAGATAATGCCATGTAAACTTTATAAACATCTCAAAATGTTTGTATAGAGTTGGTATATTTCCATGGTGTGCCGAACTCTGGATCTTGCTGCCTGATGTGGTTGTACACATTAGTGAGTTATGAAATTTTTAACTAAAGGCGCTATGACAACAGCAGGTTTATATTAGAGTACTTCCTGCTTCTGTTAGAAATGAGCAGCTGTGTCCACCATTAAGGCTGGTGAAAGTGATCAAAGAAAAACTCAATACGGACAACCCCTTTGGTGGTTTCCATCGACGCAGTTGGGCAGGTGTAAAAAAAGGGCTTTTGTCTGAGAAATGCTGGAGCGAGTAAGATGCATCACATGTTGGGAAAGCTGTTGTCTTTTCCCTTCTGTAATATTACTTTTAATTAACCAAGAAAGCCTATGTTAAGTTTTCAAATAAATATAAAAAAAGATAACTAGTCTAAGTTTTTCTATGGCGGAAGTTCAGTGACGTTACAGCATCTTCATACTATAGTTTTTATCACACAGTTAGGATTTTCTGTGTACAGTTTTCTTGTTAAAGCCATCTCAAAGAAATTCTGAAAATAATTTTCTTTTATTTAATGTTTTAGTATAAAATTTAATGTTTGTCGAAAGAAAAGTTATGACATGCAAGACATGTGTTAATAAATAAGTGTGCAAACAATATGAACAAACAATTCTTGCAAACTAGAGACAAAATTTAAAAAGAGAACTTGTAGGAGTGTCCACAAGCATCCTATATTTCATCAATTTCTGTATGTCATAATATATAGTTGCACTGCATATCTGTTTGTTCAATGCATGGATTGATTGCTCTTTGTTTTTAGTCACTTCTTTTTAGCCTCAGATCAACTGAGGCTTCTAAATGATCAAACAAGTTTTCTAGTAGCCATTGTGATATTCACATATATATTATATGTAGATTTGTCAATTTTTTCCCTTTGACTTTTGGTATGATAGATGTAAGTAGTTGACTGAATTCCATTTCATTTCATTTGTATAGCTTAGTTTCTTTTCTATTAGGAGCCCAGGAAGAAATAAAAAAAGTAAATCATCTACTTTCAAATTTCCTGGTAAAGACAAAAAAGAAAAACACAGTAAAACGAAGGATCGGGAAGCAAAAGAAAAAAAGGAAGAGAAAGAGAAAATAGGCAAAAGGGAAACTAAAGAACTTAAAAAAGATGATAAAACTAAAATAAAAAAGAAAAAAGAAAGAACACTATTAAAAATAAAGGACAGGAAAAAAAAGAATACGGATCAAGAAAAATCAGGTTATAAATTTTCCTTTTCTGTTAACATATATTTGTGAAATATCTCTTCCTTAACTTTTAGTATTGTTCTTCAGATGTTATTGATAACTGATATTAATTAAATGCATTTAATCACTGAGATCTTTCTGGCTTTTAATTTTAAGACGCTTTTATGTGTGTATTTTTTTTTTTTTTTTTTTTTTTTTGTTTTGTTTTGTTTTTTCTGATTATCTGCATGCCCTACTGAAAGACATTAATGGCTACTACATCCATTAATGGCTAAAGTTTCACCAAGCCGAGGTGTGAAAGACAACAGCCATTTTCAAAAATGATTGTACCCTAAGAATTACATAAAACAGCAACCCAATTAACATAATCAATAATGCGGGAAACATCCATAATAAAACTTTGCACTGCACACACTCGTTCTCCCTGTATACACAGCAATCTGTTTTTGCTAAAGATTTGCACAAATTTGGCATTGCACAAACAATTGTTTTCCCATATACACTGCAATATCTTTTCATTCTGAAAAAATCAGAGAATTTGAATATTCAGCATTTGGGCACAAATAGTGATCCATAAAATATGATTATTTGTGAAGTACAACTTCATGGATTGAAAAGTTTTGTCTTTTGTACTGTTAGGCAAATTGCTATATTTCTAAAGAAATGTAAGTCTCTTTTTCTCTTTCATCAGCTGACACATTTCAAATTCCCATTATGATTCTTTACGAGAAAGAAAAGTAACCAAAGCAAACACTAATGACCAATGTTTGTGTGCTGTGCACACACATACCTGAATTGTCGCATAAAAACATTTTGTTAATGACATAGTACATTGCTTTGTGAATACTTTTCAGGGGTGTGTAGATAATGAGAAAGTATTTTATTTTAGGAAATTGTTTTTACAGTGTTAATGTATTGATTAATCCATTCATTAATTATAGAGCACATCTATTCATTAATTATAGAATAATATTACTTTTCATGTAGATTTATATAATATGCTGTGACTGATTCTTTTCTTAATTGCCTTTTTTTTCTTAGCTTTTATGTGGTTTGACATAAATATTTTTATGTAAAATGAATAAAATGTTTTATTAGTGTTGTTTATGTTAATTAACTATACAAAAGTTAACTATATAATTAACTATATAGTTAAACTCTGCTAAAACAAACTTCAAGACCAAAAGTTTGGTTCTCTTTATATTATCTGATAAGTAGATTTCCTTTCACCTATGTGGTGACCAGGTGTGAAAGAATAGTCCCAATTTAGCTCATGCATGTTGTAAAAGGTGACTAAAATGGGTACCCAGTGTCAAGGGGTATACAAGGCACCCCTGCCTCAAGGGTGTTTATAAATTTGGAGGCCTGTCCCTCCAGGTTTGGGGTTGAGTGCAGGGCCAATCAATTCCCTTGCCTCGAAAAAGCTTCCAATTCAGAAATCTCAACTGGGCAGACACATTCCCTTTGACCTGGCTTGCAAGCAGATCTGAGGATTCAGGGACTGCTCTGAGCAACAAAATAAAATCTAGCTATGTCACTGACCTGTCCACAGAAAAACAATGGGGAAATGTTCTCAAATAAATATTCCTGGAACTTTAACTGTGCACTATAAAGTGTGTCACTTGTGTGTATTGTGATTGATGTAAAGCTGCCTGAAGACTTAGCCCCACTCAACGAAGTCAAATAGACCCAACTGCATATCAACCGAGGCCCACAGAATTGTTTTCCCCTTAAAGTTGGAGCTGGTAGGTGATACCGGTTTGTTTGAGTCAATATTGTACATGCTACAATAGATGAGATCCAGTGATTGTAGACAAGACATCTTGGGTTTGGTCCAAATGTTACAGGAGTGAAATTGCATTTTTGAAGCAAAAAGAATTATCAATTTTAAAGTTCTGATACCTAATGCATGCAGTAGAATTGTCTATCAAGAGCAGAATCTTTTGCTTTTTGACAGAAAGTTCTTCATCCGGCTTTTGTAGTTTCTCTTCGTCAATGCCTTATGATTAGCTTGATAAAAAATGGGAAGAATTTTCTTTTTTAAGCATTGTAACTTTTCAGATTTTCAAACCGTTAAAATTTTACAAAGCTCAATATCATTCCTTCTGGTGCATACCATTATAAGTCCTTATATTTGAAAATAAAATATAAAGGCCCTTATAGGTGCATACTTTTTCTTTAAAGCCTTTATTCTTTTTGTTTTTAGTGCTTATTTTTTGCTTTTAGTGCTTTTTTTTTTTTAATGAACGCGCTATTTTTCCCCGTACCAAAGCCGAAACTAAATAAACAACTTTCTTCCTAATATGGAATGCCAAATGATGAATCATACAACCGAAATAGCTTTTCCCCCTTTCTCTACATTAACATAACCTTTAGTGTGCATGAAGAGTACAGACAGGTGCCCATCGTTCTATTGGTCAAGGAATTGGGAAAACAGTAGAAACTTCAGGTACATTCAGCATTCTTTTTCTCCCACCCAAATACTACACACATTTGAATTTCTATCAAGATCTTAATAATTTGCATTCTCGTTCCGCTTGGTCAGTTCATATTCGTGTTTATTATGATCGTTATGCTTTTATTATGAGTATATATGTATGAATGTTTATAATTACATAGTTGCAGTAACTGCTGAAGTATAGTAAACTTCCAAAAATGGTTGTGTTTTAACACAGATTAACTTTCTAAGGAATAATATTCAGAATGGCTTAAATAAAGGGAAAGTAATCGAATAGTCAAAATAGTTTCATTTTTTTGGCCAATTCATTATACAGTACGAAGATTGGAAGGTTCTCTCCTTTCTCCGCAAAATCTCGAATATTGAAACTGTTACAGTTCGCTGCAAAACAAGCAATGGACCTTTTTTTTTTTTTTTTTTTTTTTTGTCATTTTCCAATCTGGATTGAATAATACTAAAAGTTCTGTGGTCTACCAACCCAAGCGAAGAATGATTCTATTCCGGAAATTTAATGACGTCTGTTGAAAATTAGAATGAAAAACACCCCAGTTATTTAGTTCTTTATTCTCCCAATATCGGCAGCTGTTGATTCCGATTGCATAATATCACGTAGGGAAGAATTATGGCACACGTATTGCATAATAACGTTTGCGATATTTTGCAGAGATAATTAATTTTGATGTTCTGTCCGAGATTTGTTTATGAACACTTAAAAGAATTTTATTGTACTTGCTAAGCAGAATATTTTTCAGTTCCGTTGGTTTATTTTTATATGATGCACATATCGAAATGCGAAAAGCATTTATTTAGCGGAAAAATTTAAAGAGCGGCTACAGTCTACCCCCCTCCCCTCCTATTTTTCAAGTTACACTCGACTGTCCAAATATTTGCCAATTTCCAAGCATGCAGGTTAGTTAAGCTTTTACTGTTAAAAGATGACTCCATGAAGCAAATTTCTGTCTTCTGATTTCAGAAATGTTCCTCTTTTTTACTTAAATTACTTTGCTTGGAATATCTGTTAAGGGAAAAAACTGATATACAATGAAAATTTAGAAAGAAAATGTTCAGAATTTAGATTTAAATTATTTAAATATCAATATGAGTGCAAAAAATAAATTGTATCTATTATTAGGTTCCAAGCGAATAAAAATAAATATGTCTTATTATTATTATTATTATTATTTATTTTCTCTATTTTGAACTGAAATTTCATCATTAAATCTTGTAACATAGTTTAGTTCTGCATAGTTTTTTTTTCTCTCATTGTAAACTAATTCTGTAAATTGAACTGTTATTTAAAATTAAAAAAAAAAGAAGTAATTATTTTCCATGGTTGAGGTAATGCTTATTCTCTCTTAATAAGTACTGCATTTCTCATATTTTAAATTACAAGTCTAATTTTTAAGGTTATGCAGTTGTGTATAATGTAATTAGACAGGTGCTTATTTTTTTTAAATATGCTTGAAATATGCTTATAGGTGCTTATTTTTGTAACTTAAATGTGGCTATGAACCGTGTTTACAAAGCTCAATACCATTCCTCTTGGTGCATACCATAACTGTGACTCACAGTATTGCCAATTTTCTGCTAGTTCATTTGTCTTTAAATTTTAATGTTTGGTTTGGAATTATTTTGTGGATCATCGTGGGTTCACTGGTATTGAAAATTTTTCTTCTTTGTTGTGGTGAAAGACAAGTGTCCTAGATATTCCTTCTCTCCATTTTTCAATATCAAATTCTGAATCCATATCTAAATCTCCAACAATTAATTGTTCATGGAAGAGTGTTTTACTTTTCTAACCTATCCTATCTCCAGTTTCACAATTTCATTATTCTTTACTCGAAGCACCTGTCAGATATTTTCAATTTGCAGCTTCTGTAAATGTCTATTTCAGCATTTCTTCTGTCCATTTCAGCATTACTTCTTCAACATCCTTTTACTCGGCCTTTCTAAATTTTTTGTTTTTATCCAGATTCTTTTTTTTCCATGAATGGAAATTATTTAGTCTGGATTTGTTCACATGGTATATGCTGTTAATTTGCATAAACGGCATTTCTCACAGGTATTGCTATTATTGACTGCAGTACACAAAAGTGCATCTTTTTTTCTCTGACATAACATTAACGTTGTTTGCTTTTAAAAGCAGGCACTGAACTTCAGCTGATAATGTGGCCTTTAGATATAGAAATTTGGTTAGGTAATGGACTTCAATGTTTGACTATGTTAACATTTGTGCATCCACTCTAAAACTAATGATAAAAGAGAATACCTGACATACTATATCTAAATGGCTTTGGCTTCATAGAAATTAAAAATGATACAGAGTCTGATACAGCTTTATTATGTCGTATTACTTTATTTAGTGAATCAATTTTATTTTAATTTAAAAAGAAAGATAAATTTGTCTTGCTAATTTTAACTATATAAAAGGTCATAAGCATGGCACCTGCACCATGACTGAATGTAATTCTAAATCTTACACAGTTCTTGTTAAGAAGTTGCTGTTGGGATGGTAGCAGAAGAGTATTTCAATGGAAAAAAATATTGAATATGGTGCAGGGTCAAAGAGATAGTTTAATAATTTGAGGTTTAATGCATGCATTGCTGAGCATTGGGTAATGTATGTCTTTCCATGCTTTCTGTAAGATTAACAGGAGCATGGAGGATTGTTTCTAATTCTGTGTGTGCATGATAAAACAGCATCAATGTGAAAAAAATTGCATAAGCAATAGAGCCTTCATATCTGTGAATAATATGTTCTGGGACTTATTGTAGATAATAGCAAACATTGTGTTAAAACACGGGTGCTCGTGTATCATATGTAACTACAGTTAAATTTAATTAATAAATTTTACACTGTAAAACATTACCAACATTAAATAAAGAATAATAAGGCATTTTGGTCATTACATTTAATACTGCATTACTTAGTAATGTGAAATACATAGCTCACTAGAATATATTGTTGTATTAGTGTACTTTGTTTCATATATATAAGTAAGAGAGTATGGGATTTTATCAAAAAGTGAATGATAAAGAAATGCAGCATAACATACTGCGTCAAAGAAAAGAACAAATAAGAATCATTTATTTTCCTAGCACCAGTAACATGTTCATACTCGCATCTCATTCAAGCACTTATAGTAACATTGATATTAGTTTTGAGGTGCTTATTATGCCACTTAGCAACTTTGAGGAGTAGAAAAGGTTCAGTAACATGTTACTAACATGAATTAGATGAATGCCAGAAGCAAGAGTGGAAGCAAATTTGAAAAGAACTATAGATGCAAAAAGGAAGCTTAAGTCAAATACCTTGATGTTAATAGCTGATATTGCTCGCCAACATACTTTGGTATTTGAGTTTTAGTACAACTACTTTCCCTCATGACTTTTTGCGAAAGAATAATCATTGATAATTGCAAAAAAATATTTATTTAAATGTATACATATTTTGTTTTAATTAGGTTTTTATCATGACAATCAATTAATAAACCTACTTACAAACATTACATACAATGCATTTCTCATATTTTAAATTACAAGTCTAATTTTTAAGGTTATGTAGTTGTGTATAATGTTTTTTTTTTTTTTTTTTTCTTTTTTTTTTTTTCTTTTCCGAGGTAGAAATTTCATGGTGATTACTTTAAGAATGTACCAAAAACACAACTTATTATCCATACTTTTGAATACTATACTGCTTCATTTTCTAACAACAGCAGCAACATGCTCAGGAAAGGATTCAGTGAGGTGCTAAAAGTGGGTGGTAGTATTGTTGCCCAGCAATCATGCACTTGTCATTATAAATCTATGTTAGAGCATGATAAGTTTAAGTCCAGAGAATGTTGCATCTTATCCTATAGATTCTCAAGAGGACATGGCCAGGTGAGTTTTCCAACCTCACTGCTATGCTCACTGAATCACCACTGTCCAACATGCAACTGAGAAAAGGGTGCAGTATCTCCATGAAAGAACGTATTATTCTGTGGAAACAACAAGTGTGTGTAGGAGTGTAGATGATCAGTCATCAGTTGATCAAAACAGGACATTCAAAGATGTCAATTTCTTCTTTGGCATTCAAAATTTGATAATTTCTCGAATGTGGGAAAAATTCCAAACTAATCAGACAGTTGTCTGGAGACATGCACCTGCTCAACAAAGGGTTACAAACCCTTCTGAAGATCAGTATATTGCTATAATAGCCAAGTGAAATCAACGAGTGACCTTCACAACTGTTGCATCCCTAGTTACATCACATGGTAGAGCAATATCTGCTACTACTATACACCAAAATCTTTATACAAAGAGACTGTACATCTGGGTACTAAGTGTATATGTTACACTGACTGTCCAAACAGGATCAAGATTAAAGTGATTTCATCGACATTTCAGTTAGACTGTCTCTGATGGTGTAATGTCCTGTTGACTGATGAGTCCAGATTTACCCTGAAAGGATATGATGACCATCTAAGGGTCTAGAGAGAACAAGGTACATGGACTCAGGTTGAGAACTTAATTGAATGTCATGCATTCTGAGGTGGCAGATCATGGTGTAGGCTGAAATTTCAATGCAATATCATACCCAGCTGCATATCATTAAGGATTGTTCTGTTATGGTCATGTAGTATGAGACCATTGTGAGACTTTGATGCAACAGTTGTCTCTGATCCCTCTTTGAGGATGATTATTCCCATCCCGGGTAACATTAACCATCTTATACGGAGTACTGCCCCAACTTTAATCCTGTTGAAAATCTTCAGAATGCCATCGAGCATGCTGTCTTTGCCATATTTGCCTTATCCAGACAGTCAGAAACTGTCCTAATGAATGAATGGTCATTGCTGGCATCTGCAATGGTTGATCACCTCATTGAAAGCATTAACTGTAAAGCTTGTGTGAATGTTCCAGTATGGTCATAATGATTCAAATGTGAAGACTTAGAGATTACGAAAATTAATTATTTTCTTCTTTGTATGTAATGCTTTTTTCATTCATGTATGAAACACATTTGTTACCTTCATGTACCATCTGATATTAATCAAAGCTAGCTTTATCTTAAAGAATAAGCTTTTCCATTTTTGTTGATTTGTGTCATGTGCGAGCTTTTGGAAGCCAGAGTGTTATCTATCTGCAGTCCGGTGCATCCAGTGTATAAGCGTAGAGGATCCAACTAGTATGACATGTTGAGGGAAAAGGAAAGTAGAAATGGGTTATTGGGTGAGCTGTTTGAAAATTCAAGGAAAGAAGAGGAAGCATTGGCTCCCGACTTCAAATCAGTCTTTATAATTAGAACTCCGTTTCATCAAATAACGTTATATAAAATCTTTAACCTTTTAGGAAACAGAATTATGGGGGTTAAAAGCTGAAGGCAACCAAAGCTCTTGAATGAGAGATATTTAGTAAGAATTTTTCAGTGCTAAGCCAGGCATAATTTATTTGTTTTCTTTTCTCCAAACAGAAATTAATTGGAAGAAATTGAGAAAGTTTTTTAGCATGCAAGGAATATCTACATAAGGGAAGGGTACATTTGTAGAGAACTTTATGGGAAACTGTTATATACAGAAATAGATTGGGAAAGAATTAAAAAACCCATGCAGCTAATTCATTAATGGTATTAGCAGTCTCTTCTACTCATTAGTGTCTAGTGAACCATAATTGTCAGGGGGGAGCCTTAATTTCAGGATCTGATTGAATCTTGGAGCAAACTATTTATTCTTTGTGGTAATTTCCCTGATGTTATGCTTGATTTGGTCTTTTAATTGCTTTGCTATTTTTAATGTGATTTTTTAGAAGCATAATAGCACATACAGTATTTTGTGTAATAAAGTTTCACCTTTGTATTTATTTATAAGCATGTAGTATTTGTCAGATATGGTGATCTTAATGTTTTTTTCTCATAATTTTGATGTTCTATACCACACTATGTAAATAAATTTCTTTGATATTTACATCAGGAATATGATTTGACTGCAGTTGCTGTATCCTTAATCAAATAAATTGGATATTTTTCTTGAAAATTAATGTGTTAATAAGTGCTGTATTAAAATATATCATCATTGTGTAGCATTGACTGTGTTTCACTGAAGACTGTAACAAATTAACTAAGGAGCTTATATTCCTAATGTGAATTATTTGAACCATGAAAACCTGCAACAGATCAAATAAAACAAACAGTTTTATTTTAATAGAAGAGAAGCCAATTTTTGGGGTCCCACTTCAAGTAGCAGTTGAAAGAAGCAAAAGCCATGATGGAATTGAATTACCTGTAGTTGTGCGTGAATGCATTGATTATATAGAAGAACATGGTATGAAAAAGCTTTTAACATTATTTTTCTTTATAGATGATAAAATGTTTTCTTCGACTTGCTGTGTCTGCAGTGTTTTGCATTGTTTTTGTGTAAGCTGTTTTTAATGCATGTACACAAACGCACACATACAAACATGGTACACATAGAAAACATGAACAAAAAAAAAATGTTTACAATTTTAGAATAAATAGATGATTTAGTCGAGACATAGAGCTGCATAAAGTAAGCATCATTAGCTTGGATACAGACTTATTTGATGTGGTTTTCAATTCATACAATTCCAGATTACACTGTAAGGCATCACTTGGTTAACAGTCTCTAGTTGTTGGGCTAATTTGATGATATTCATGATATGTTATGGATTATTCTTTGTTTTAAATCAGATACGGCTGATTTGCAGTGTATTTCTCCTGACTTTCTGTTATTTCTTAAATTCTCATGATTCTTATATAGCTTAGATTAACATTTCATTGATTGCACCCACAAACCTAATTTCTGGCATTTGATATCATTTGAGTTTTCTCTAGTTTACCAATAAAAGAAAGTCTATGCTATTTCATCAAGAAGTTTGGGCATGCATAATATCACATATAAGCAGATGTGGCTGAAAAGTCAGTCTCCAGTTCTTTAGTGAGCTTTGAGTGCTGCTAAAATTCATCTGATGTATATTGCCAGTGAGAGCAGAACAAGATCAAAACTATTCTTTGTGCTTTATTGCCAAACGGTGAGAGTTTCATGTCCTTCAAGAAATGGGTTAAAAATTTGTAAGCTGTGTCTTAGTTATGTTTGGGAGAGAATAAGACACACATATACTTCCAAGAAATGATGCATTAAGGTGAACGTATCCAGTCATATGTAGGTGACATTCCCTTTATAAATTTGTTAGCAAAATGTTGTACATTTATGATATATGATGTTTATCATTGTTATTTTTTATTTCATTAGGTAGAAGAGCTGATGTTTTAAACATGTTCATTATGTTATTTATTTATTTATTATTTTTTAAGTGTATTGCTTAAAGATTATTTTTGTCACTGAGAAAAAAAAATATTTAATTTATTGACATCTCTAATATTTGCACTTATTGTTGGAATTGAGTTCAAAATAGGATCCATTAATGTAGATTAGTTGTCTCCAATCATAGCAATTCCATGGTGACTAAGCCCAGCACTATTGGAATTACTCTTGATTTGTGTGTAATCAAATGTTGCTCCTAAGCCTAGATTCCACCTCTTTAATGGTTTGAAGAGTTAGTATTCATGTTTAGCTCATGTTTTGAGATTGATGACAATGAATTCAGTGGCATTTGCTTTGTCCTTTTTTATTTTTACCCTAAACCACTATTTCTGAAAGTAGGGCATGTCAGTTTCTGGGGACTGCTATCCAGATGTTAATCATCATCAGGGCAGAGGGGAAATTTAGGTTGCAAGAGAACAGCATTATTGGCAGTATTTTTGCATTGAATTGTCTTGCAATTGAACATGCTTTCGATTTCTTTCTCTCTAAAGCACTCTTGTCATAAACTATTATGGCATGATTGTATGCATATATTATTTTTGTTATTCAAAATTTAAAAAATGATTCCAAAGAATTATAAATGTTAAGTAAAATAGTTTTTGTAATATACAATTAACAGAGTAATTAAACTGTATATGAATAAAAATATATTAATTAAATTATATACATTAGCTACAAATTAAAGAAACAACTATAAAAACTTATGCAACTTTAAGAATTTTGCAGCTAAGAATATGAAACTTGTGCAAGATCTTTACTTTAACACAGATGACATAACTTCAAAATGCAAAATAGTCTATATCTGAAAAAAGTATATTTAATATGAATATAGGGTATGTGATATAACATGAGGGGGGGATGACTAGTGTTACAACATTTTATAGATACATGGAAAAAAATGAAGTGTGTCTGATCTGATCTCTCTCTCTCTCTGAAAACCTCTGATCGAAATGCAAGCTTTATTGTAATTTTCCATATTGTGTGTTAGATTGCCCACGAGTTTCTACTGTAACAAAGTGTATTCAAAAGACTAAATTGATGATCAAAAGTGCTCGGTGAGACTGCAGGGATACAAGTCTTCATCCTAATGAATCCCACATATATTCCATGGAATTTATGTGGGCTATGTCATTCGCTCTATTCCTTCACCCTTAAGATAATAGGTGGAGATGATCATTATTGTCCATTAGAAGGAAGTTATTGCCAATTGCATCCTTAAACATCTTGAAGGGTCAACAGCTTCATGTCTGTATATTTTAAAATTCAGAATTGCACTGGCAGTCAGTGCAGCCATTAAATTATGCCTCTACATACCATGATACCGCCACCTTTATACTGATGCCTTTCACAAGTATTTTTAAGCTTATTCCATGGTTTTGCTCCCTCCAGATTGTAACACATCTGAAATCTTTCTCCAAACAAAAATGAAATTCATCAATAAAGAGAACTCAGCTTCTGTTTGAAATACTCCAGTCATAATGTCTGCACCACTGCCGCCATCTGCATTTCAGAGTCCAAATTAAAGAGCCATAAATCATGGGTTTCCCTGCATACAGTCCTCTTTTATATAACCTGCCACTGTACATCTGAATTGTTAAGGTCTTTTGCGAACGTTGGGGCCATCAGTGCTAACATCAGTTGACTATTTCCTCTAGTAGTCATTGCCTAATAATTGTCCAGAGTATCTTGTGGCACGTTTTTGAAATTATATCTGCATACATTACCAATAACTTTTCCAGATTTTTAACATGATGCTTATGTCTGCATTTAAATTTTTGAAGACTTATGTCAGTGTCTGTCCTGCTTCTCTTCATACAATTTGTCTCGTGTCTTCTTAATGGCATGTTTTCATCTTCTACATGTTAAAATTTTATCCAACTGTTAGCATAATCCTTGAAATTAAAATTTGAAACATACTGTTACACTCCTTTCCATATGTGCCAAAAACTTAGATGCAAAAACTTGCATACTTGTGTAGCAAAAGTTAATTTCATAGGACTACATAATAATGTTAACCTTGAACTACCTTTCATTGGTCTTATTAGAATAATCATAAAGCACCTTTTTGATAGTGATTCCTTTAATATTTCGAAACACCTTATATCTCTGTACATGCATACATACTTAAAAAAGGGTGAGCATTACAAAGAAGTAGTTCATGTGAGGAGCTGATGACTCAGAATGTATGAGAAGAATAGCCTTATGCCATTTGTTTTTTATTGTCACTCAAATTTGTAATTCAGGATCCATTTCTACCAGTACTGACCAAGTCATTGCATCTCAAATACCAAATATTTATTTGTTTTGTCCATCCATGTTTTATTTTCTGATTATCTGAACCCCTCTGGAAATTGTTCAGAGGCCACTGTTGCCAAAATAGTAACTGACAAAATAGACTATGACATGGCCAAAATATGTTTGTGTGACAATCCACATATGCATGTGCTTCCAGCAGGAGATGCCAATTTCCTTCTTCAAATCAATGGCCAGTATTCTAATTAGTGTTTGTTTTTGCATTAATACATTTTTTTGGCTTGCAAGGAATCATAAGACTTTAAATTTCGTCAGCTTATGAAAAGAAAGTTTTGCATTTTTTCAGAAATAGGCCATCTTGTCCAACAGTAGAGAATGAAAAAATTCAAATTCAATGAAATTGCATTTCTTAAACAATCAAATTTTATGAATCAAAATTTCTGTATGATATTGAATTAATGCAATTCTCTGATTTTTTTTAAGTGAAAACAGATTTCTGCATACACAAAGAGAACAAAGGTGGCAAAAAATATACTAAAATTTTTTTGAAAAATCTATTCTGTTACAGATTATTTCTTCTTTTTTAATTTTTACTGATTGTTATTTTTTGGAATTCTTAGTGTGGTGTAATTTTTGAAATAGCTGTTGCCTTTCACGTATTAGCTTGGTTAAAAGTTAATTACCACTGAGCTACCAACTTTTTGTAGAGGGCTGCAGGTAATCAGAAAGTACTGATCTACTGTCTTTTACTCTGATAACACAAATTATTTCAGACTGTGCTACAAGACTGTAATGAGCATGAGAAACTAAGCATAGTCAGTGTTGTGCAGTCAAATTATGTTAGAAATTTTGTTCCTGAAAAAAAAAAATTGTTTTTTTATGCGCACCATCACAATGCTTTATTCCAATCAGCTATAATCGCAGTTAGTTTTTTTGTTCACAGATTTTTAATCTACATAGTTGGTCAAAAGTTGTTTGTATACGAGTTTCATTACTACTGGATTATTTATCGATGTACATTTTTTTTTTGTTTCTTTTGTGTGTAAGAGTATTTGAAATTATAAAACACAATTTTTTAGCTAATTTAATATTTTCTTATTTTTAATTTAGGGCTTGCATGTGAAGGAATATATAGAATTTCTGGATTAAAGTCTAAAATAGGACAGTTAAAAGCTCAGTATAACAAAGGGGAGAAAGTGTACTTATATGAGCATGAACCACATGTTGTTGCAAATCTCCTTAAGCAGTTTTTACGAGACTTGCCAGAGCCTGTATTGACATTTGAACTTAAGCCAAAATTTGAGGAAGCTGCTGGTATATTATTTTAATAGTTAACAATTGTTGCATATTTTAATATCCTTTTTATGTCAGTTAATATCTTCTTATTAGAACTCGTTATTTTGTAGGAAATGTATTTTCTGCAAGTATTTTGAATAGTATAAAGATGCATGACATACTTATTTTTTAAAACTGCTGATAGTGTATCTGTATGCTATTTTTTTATTAGTGATTTATTTAGAGTTATGGTAATAGTAAAATAGTATTTTTAATTTGCTGTAAAGTGCTATTTTTATATATATTGCATTCTCTGATAATTAATCATATCATACACTATCTGCACTTAATTACTTTACACAGATAGCCTTTATTGTGCTAAATAAATAGTGTCATTTAATAAATACCTGTTTTATTATTGAAAAGCAAATGAATGATTCTGTAAGTGAGAAACTTTTTTCTAAGTCTTTGCATTAATTGATTATATATTATCATTCATTTATAGTGATGAAAAAATGTGTGTTCTCAGATGGACTACATGTACTGTGTTTATATTCTATCCTTGCTGATGCCTATAATTTAGATTGCAACCACAAAACATAGGATATCTAAAATAAAATAATTGTTATGGAAATTTTATACACAAATGTCAAATACTAGAGAGCCGGTTATAACTTAACAAAACAAATGAGTGGTAAATGTTTTGCTATATACAAATGAAACCAAACACAGGCAGAATATGACACTTCATATTTTCAGAATGGTCTGAATAATAAGCATAGCCATCATGCACAGCTTTACATGTCTTGCAGTGCTTTTCATATTGTAAAAGAGGTTGTTGATCATAGCTTATGGCAACAAATGCTGTTCTGAAAGCTTGGATTTTAATGTGTGGAGAGTATTGGAGGAGTGTTGTCATGAAATGGTTTTTCCTAAAACATCCCAAACATGCTGTATAGAATATTTCACTGGTCACACCATACAGCAAATCTCCTATTCCTCCAGAAAACATAGGCTGGTTTAACTGCACTTATTTTTAAGGATAAGCACTGCATTCTTATCCTTAAAAATGAAGTCTTTTTCCAACAATTCTGAGGAAAAGCCTCATGTAAAATTTACAAATTATAGCATTGCCTGTCACAGTGCCCACATCTAAGACATGAAATGGTATGCAGTCCTCCAGTATGATGGCTCCTCACTTAAGGATTTCAATTCCACTAAAGTGGTTGATTTCTCTTTTTTCAAGAGAGGAGATAGTGTGCCCCAGGCTGTCTGCTGATGAAGACTAATATGTGAATCACTCTTGTGTACTGAATCAGGAGTTATCACCAAAGAAGGCAGTGCATCATTTTTTCTGGGTCCATGAATTTCTAAGTCTAACCATCTTCTGTGACAAGGTTTTTTTTTTTTTTTCCTGTTAGCAAATAGTATTATTTTTTCAAGACTGCTTCACTTCTTTCATGTCCTGTGATGTGTTATAACACAGTGTGATGCACTACACTATAAGAAACGATTTTGAGAAACTATTTTGCCTCAGCACTAGTTTGAAAAGAAGATTTCTGTTTGAAACAGTTGGGCTTGATGACGTACTGTGGGGATGTGCCCAGAACATTTTTTAGCCTGGGGAAAATATTTTGCTTGCAGTTCTGTGTCACATAGGCTAGGAAGAAGATATATTTCTGGCAGGTCTTTTGCATGTGTCAACCAATTGGATTTGCTGGAAGTGAAAATTGCTGGAAAGATTTTTTTCCATACATATTTGAGGGTAGCTTTCAGGTCTGATGGTTGTATAACAACTTATAACTCTTATTTAGGAGACTCATCCTACTGTATTACATATTCCTTCCATATGTATGTATAATTCTAGGACATTTGCATAGTTATAGTAGATTTCCTATTATATTTATTCCTATTTCCTATCTATAAGACCTATTTTATTTCACTTTGATATGGACTTTATCAAGATGAGCAGCATTCTTTAGAATGGTCTTCAGGTATTCAGCAGTAGCTTGGTAGTAAGAAATAATATACAGGGTGACCCGTAAATGCTGTAACAAATTTCTGAGAGAGGGGTAGGGCACATTGTGAGGATTAAGAATTGCATAGGAATCCATGCCCAGAAACGTCATTGTGTGCCACCAGGGAGGCTGTACAGAAGATTGTTAGTGGAAAGTGAGGATTGCCTCATTCGAGTAGTAGGCACCATAAGAGGAGAATCGAATGCTAAGAGAGCTTGCAGACATGCTCTTAGTATATCGAATAGCTGAGGGTAATGGGCAAGCTGCTGCATGCATTTATTGAGAATGCTTCCCTGACAGACGTGAACCACACCACAGTTTGCACATCTGCATCAAAATTTGTGTGACTACTGGGTCATTAAGAAGTGGCAGGACAAGTGAGGGCAGGCCACAATCGACTTGCTCAGTCGTTCCAGAAGAAAATGTGTTGGATATGGTGGAGAGTAATCCAAGGATCATTGTCATTGCCTCTCAGTTAAGAATGTCTCATACCAATGTCTTGAACACCGAGTCCTTCTATGCCTTTCATCTCCAAAGGGTTTAGTGGTTCAGTTTCTGCACCACGATGACCATCCTGGTCATCCTGAATGTCTGTGTTTCGCACAGTGATTTCTGCAAGAAAGTGCTCATGGTGTTAATTTCCCTGCTTATATGTTGTTCACAGATGAGGTCATATTCAATAGGGATGGCATATTCTATCACCACAATCATCATTTGAGGGCCCAAGAAAACCCCCACAGTGTGTGACATCATTCAGCACAACAATGCTTCAAAGTTGATGTGTGGGCAGGTTTGGTCGGTGACTGTTTAGTCGGACTGTACCTTTTACCACCCGGGTTGAATGCTGCAAATTATCTTTCTGGAGCAGGTTCTTCCCTGCTTGCTTGATGTTCCACCAAATGTGAGGTGCAACATCTGGTTTGAGCATGATGGGTGGCCTACTCATTTTGAACTGGACGTTTGTAGCCATTTGAACAGATCATTTCCACATTGATGGGAATTGGGCATTGTGGACTTGTTCTCTGGCCATGCTCTGCAGATTTATCGAGCCTCGATTTCTTTGTGGAGAGCCATCAAGCATCATTTATCACAATCCTGTTGTGTCTGAAATGGATCTTGTGGCAAGAATCGCCTACACAGCTCCCAGTGTGTTTTCCTCCAGTCTCAAAGAAACTCCCAGTGTGTTTGAACATGTCAGGCAATCAATGGTCCATCGGTGTCAGGCATGTTTGACACCTGATGGTGCAAACGTTGAGCATCTGTTGTAAATTTCAAGCTGTTATACCATTTGTATTCATGTCCAATAAATGTTTCAAATTAATCACTCTCATGTTTCCCTTTCCATCTTATACCTCTGCAACCACTTACCCCTAACATTTCCAAGCATGGGTTCCTATGCAATTCTGAATTCTTATGATATGTCCTACCTCCCCCAGAAGATTGTCGCAACATTCATGGGGCACCCTGTATACTAGCAGCTTCATCTTTCACAGCAGTGCTGTCATGTGGGATCTAGTTATATATCCTCATATAGGCTCTCAGCTACTATTACAGATATTCTAAACCTCACCACACAGTAGAAGTTATATATTGCTTCACAAGAAAGATAAGTGTGGATATTGTCTCAGGAACTTAACTCCTCTTCAGATGACTAATAACTTTTATTAATACCCTTTAATGAAGTTGTTCAGAAGAAGATATCGCCAGCTATTAAATAGAAAAAAATAGCACCACAGCTATTATTAGAACATGTAACTGCTAGTTAAGACCAGAGACTGAAGTCATTGTCCCCATAATATCTGAATGCAATCGGTAGCATGTATTCAAGATCTAAACCCTAAGAGTGACAGTAACTTGGGTTCATTTGACCAGGTTAAAGGAGTTAGTGATCTGTTGTAAAGAACAAACTCCCATGTTGAAGCTTAAACAAGCAATTAAAGATGACCAGGAGCCTCAGCATTCTCTTTTAAAAGAGCCATGTCCACCCAGAAAGAGTCTTAACAGAAAAATCTCTTTACAGGAAAGCTAGAGCTCATTATAAAAAGAAGATTGTCAAAGCCAGAAAGTATCTTGGCAATATAATTGTGACAGCATTAAACAGAACTAGTGGCATAGTGCAAAATGTCACCTATAACAAAGTACATTAACCATCATGGAGATAACAGTAGTTATTAACCTGCAAAACTCGTCTAGCATGAGAGTCATCAATAAAATATTGAAGTGCCTTTTCTGCCAGATACTCTGGCATAAAATGACAACAGTGAGCAGCCAGAAGAAATTTTCAGAAACAGCATTGGCCAAGTTTTATTAACTGTGGAGCCCTTGCATTCCCATGATCAACTTGGAACCATTATACAGGTACTGGTATGCAAAAAATCACACAGGCTCTAGTATGAGTGATTTTCTTGCAAAAATGATAAGACAATAGAATAAATTGATATTGAAATAAATTCGTAAAGATAACTCATAGTGGTTCTTGGGCCTATTCCTCTTCCTTTTCAAAGTATGTTGAAAGATTGGCCGACGTTTTCCCTTTATGAGAACTGCAGTAGTAGCCTTTAGTACTAAAGTGGACTGCATCTCATGCAGGCCAGTAAATCTTCATCTGTAAGCAATAGTTTGGAATGACTAATATTATTAGCACATCATATCTGTCACTTAAAAGTTACAGAGCATATGCATTGCAGCCAGTATGGCATTCAAAAGAGAAAGTCTACAGACCATGCAGTGCATGGCCTAATAAAAATAATGAGAGCCAGTGGACTTAATGATATACACAGCACAATAGTAGCAGTTGATATCAGAGATCCGTTTAATATTTTGATGTTACAAAATGTATAAGATTTTCAGTGTCCTAGTGAACTCACTAGTATTATCAGAAGGTATTACCTAGACCGGTTTGTCCAAGTCACTCTGGGTAATTATATAACAAAAACCAAAAAAAAAAAAAAAAAAAAAGGGATCGAGAAATGGTGGCCAGTGGGTTCATGCCTGATTTTGTAGAACCTTAAACCCCACAGTACTTCTCAATTCTTTCTTTGAAACAGATTAAGTTTATCGTCTTTGCTCATGGTTTGTCTTGGTGACGTCAGGTGGAAAATGCCTAGAAGAAAGGACATCAAGTGGGCTTGACACTGTTGTCAACTTTGCCGGTATACGTACGTTGAGAATGTTAATGCATAAAACCAAGCTCCTCCACGCTGACAGTCTAGTCACAAAACCAAGAAAATCAGCAATTTAAAGAAATCTGCCAGTGCACCTATTAAGACAGCATATCCAGAGCATAAAAGAAATTAAACTTAGTGATTTTTGATAATATGTTCTCCTTCATATTCCATGTACAGCAACTAAAAAAAAAGTCAGCATACTTATCACCTTTAAGACTGGGCAGTATAATTAAACGAAGGAGTTTTGAGAACTCATGTAAGGATTGGCAGATAATAATAATAATGTACACTCTGAGGAATTAATTTGTCATGATATAAACTAAAATACTCTTTAAAGATGTACTTCTTGTTTTAATGCTGGTAAACTTCCTTGATTTCTCTCTCTATAAATATATACGAGGGCTGTTCAGAAAGTATAGAGACTGAATTTATTCTATTTATTCCAGAAAATCCCTAGCGGTAGGACTGTGCACATCATGCACGCGTATGTTTCACCTCATTTCACAAAAACCGGCAGGTCTGTACAGCATGCCGTTCAGTCACACTGACTTCTTTCATGTGGAGTGTTTGCATGCGTTCATTGAAAACAGAAAATGTCTGAAAACACTGAGCAGTGAATCTTTATCGATTTTTGCTTTAAGCTCGTTAAAATGCCTACTGAAACCTACGAGATGATGAAAACAGCATTTGGAGATGAGGCAATGAGTCATGCTCAGGTTTTCGAGTGGTTTCACTGATTCAAAGAGGGTCGGAAATCACTGTTCAGTGATCCCTGTTTTGGATGCCCATCCACCTCTCGCAACAAGGACAAGATTGCACAAGTGCAGGCTGTGTTGTGCTCTGATCGCCATTTAACAGTCCGAGAAATTTCACAGGAGTGTGGCATTTTCATAGGATCATGTGATGAAATTTTGAGAAAGGACTTGAACATGTGTCAAGTGTCTACAAAGCTTGTGCCACGTCTCCTCACTGAGGATCAGCAATTCCAATGACTGGCAATCTCATCTGATTTGTTTCAAAGTGCAAGCAACGATCTGGACTTCATGAAGCTCATTATGACTGGGGATGAGTCGTAGATTTACGGATACAATCCCGAAACAAAGCAGCAGTCATCACAATGGAAAAGCCCCGTGTCTCCTCGGCCAAAGAAAGCATGGCAGGTGCGAAGCCAGATCAAAGTCATGTTGCTTGTGTTTTTCGATGCAGATGGAATTGTTCATCATGAGTATGCTCCCCAGGGCCAGACAGTGAACAAGGAATTCTACTTGGATGTCATGAGGAGATAAAGAGAGGCTGTTCGCAGAAAACGACCGGTGTTGTGGGCGTCCTATCGCTGGATGCTTCATCATGACGGAGCCCCAGCACAAACCAGCAATCTTGTGCACCAGTTCTTCGCAAAACACGGAACAATCCAAGTAGCACATCCTTCCTACTCGCTGGACATGTCACCTCCAGATTTCTTCCTCTTTCCCAAGATCAAGAACACCTTAAAAGGACAACTTCAAGCCATCCAAAAGTCGGAGTTCCAGAAATTTTTCGAGGACTGGCAACATTTTTGGGCCAAGTGTGTTACTGCCAATGGAGCATATTTTGAAGGAGATTGACTCAAACCTGTTTTGTATAATAAATTCAGTCTTGATACTTTCTGAAAAGCCCTCGTATGTACAGTGAATCATGATGCATCAAAACAAAATGCCAATTTTTTATTGAATTATCATTTTTAGCTCTGAAGAATGAACGAAAGAAAGTGGAGACATTGGAGAAATTATTGAATGAGCTTCCTAATTGCAACCGCCTTCTTTTATCATGGATATTTGTACATATGCTGCATGTCATAAGTTTGGTAAGCTCTTTATGGCATTTTCATGCATACATTTCATTGATCTTTTTCTCCCCTTTCTATTTAAAAATTTATTTCTATTTAAATAGAGTATATTTGGATTTTTCTTTTTCGTAATTCACTATTTAAGGCTATTAATTATATTGCATACCATGTTATTATTTATATATCTTATTTGTTGTTATATATATATGTATATTTTTAGGAAAAAAGAAATAAAATGAATCTGCAGAATATTTCAATTGTTCTTGGACCTGCAATGCAAATAAGTCACCATGTTTTACAAGCTTTCTTTGCACACAGTAATGTTTTATTTAAAGGAGTTGAAATAAAAAAGTAATTCTGTCTAAAATATTTTTCTTCCCGTAATTTTTGAATTGGTTTTTTGTAGTTTATATTGTAATTTCTTTTTCATTTTTATACTTCAGTATATTTATTTTTAAGGTATGTACCACCAATAGAATTAGACAGTAGCCGACTGTCCTTGGAGCTACCAGATTCACCTTTAGCTCTTGCTGAAGAACTTTTGAAACAAGAAAATGTGCTTAGTATTCTGCATGCTGAATTGAATGCTGGTTTAAGAGATAAACAAAAAGAAGAGCAGCTATGGGAAGTCCAGAGAGTTGTTACACAACTAAAAAGAAAGGTACAGTGTTAATTTCATCAGTTTGTGACAGTATGATGTGTAATTTTTTAGTCTTCATTTCATGCGTTTTCAAACTATGTTATGGAAAAAAAATCATTTACTGGAAATTCCTAGATAACCCATCTACTTAGAGGATTCATACTTTAGAGATGAATCATATTTGATTAAATCTTTATGCTGTTTCTGTCAATGTATTTTCATTCTGCTTTTTTTGCAACAATCCCAGCTTTTGGGTTGTTATTGAAGTGCTTCTTGGATATTGTATAACAGAAATATATCTAACATCATCTATGATTTGGCCTGAATATCCTTTATAGAATGAAAGCAGCAATCATTCAATTTATATTTAAGCTTTAAGAATAAAAATATCACAGGATTCCACATATGGTAACATGAAAGAAAGTGGACCCATTGCAAATTTCATTTTCTTGGAACAAGTTTTGCATTCTTCAGAGTAGGTGCTTTCATGGTAGTGTAAGAAGATCTCAACTTGTGTAATGTTTTAATAGAACTGATATATGAGTTTGAATCCTGCAACCCTACTAGACAACTAGCAAGTTATCACTATGTCTGAAAATAATATGGCAGAGTGGCTAAGATTAAAATAACCTTTTAATGTAATCTGAACTTTTAACGGAAAAGGCACAACTTGTCCTACAGCTAAATCACTACTTGTGGCGATATAAATTAAACAGTAGAAGAAACTTAAATTTAAACATTGGTAAAGTATTCTGTCTGCACAATCAAATAAATAAGTGCTTACCTGCGGCCAAGCAGTAAAGTTGCTAAACAGTGGGTAGTTAGGTTCAAGGTTTGAATTGCACGAATGGGTTAGCTGCATAGGCATTTTCGTGGTTTTCCCCATGTGTGATGTGTATTTGAGCCAGTTTTCTGTAGAAAGTTCTGAACAAAGGCATCCCCTTTTTTAGGCAGATAGCCGTCTGCCTAAAAAGCATTTGCCATAATCGCATAAACCAAACCAAATAAATAACCTTGGCTCAGTTAACTTACTGGCACATTTGGCTGCAAGAGAATGCAAAAGCCTAGATTACATTTAGATAGAGCTGGCAAAATTTAACAGCATAGTATAAGTGCCAGAAGTTCAGTTAGATCTCAAGCCCTCAGCTTAAATACACTAATTTGCATTCTGGTGAATAACATGGAAATGAATTAAAATGATAATAAATTATTATCTGAAATATAAGAAGCTTACACCTTCCACTGCTTAAGTCTGGAGACATCACAAATCATCACTTTGACTATTTGATCTAGCAAGATTAATTTTTCGTGCCCAATCCTCTCTGTATAAAACATTTAAAAAGAATAAATGTTCCATATTTTCTTGACATCTTTGCTCTAGTGCAATTCTGCAAGAGGCTTGCTACTTTCATTCAGATTATTCACTACAAATCAAATTGTAATAGAGAGCATACAGGCTGAATCACAGAGTTTGATTTTGGCATAATTTAAGTCAAAAACTTGAAGATAACACTTCAATCATAAGTAGGTTTGATGCATTAACACAGATAGGCATACCTTAAAACATATATTGGATGAATTAAAACTAGATGAAGAAATTTCTAGGAGGGATAAGGTACACCTAGATGACCTGGAATCCCATAGTAATGCAATATTAACGAGAAGGTATAAAAGGCTATCACATGAAAACCATTGGCAGAAACTCGCAGAAGTGTAAGGATGAAAAATATGAATGCATTGTGATCATAAATTGACATTTCAAGACCATAAAAATAAGTGCTGACTTTACTAGTGATTAAGGTCTCCAACATTTTGCAGCATGGCATAAGGCATGGAATCTTGCACATTGTGAAATGCACTGGGCATTTTGAAATAGTACATCTTTATAGCTACCGTCAATGTCCAATGGCTGCCCAATGTATATTAACATGTGCAATATTTCATGCGATGCCCATGTTAGAAGGCAATACTTTAGGCAATTTTATTTTCAGGAGATCCATGACTTATTTTAAATGGTTTAAAATAAGTTGTGAATGGCTGAATAAATGTGGCTTTCAATGGATTTCCTGCAACAGCTCCTAACAACCTTCTTTCTTAGGATTGCATTCTATGGATTTCTTAGGATTACTTCCCGGCCGACACGCAGGCGTGCCAGAGCATTTTCCTGTTAAGCCCCGACTGTCACGTATTTGTGCCAGTGTCCTGGAACGTTTTAAAAACTATAATTTCTGTCACAAGATGACACTGTATGTCTATATGGTTTCAGGTACATGTACATTAGACCTTCTACTCGAAATGAGAGAAGCATGACTCACATACACGTGTTTTTGATTATATAAACAAAAGGGGAAATGAATGTTTCCGAATGGTGTGATTTGTGACGTCTCTTTAAATTCGCACGTGGTAGTTGTTTATTGTAAGTAGAGAAGTTTTATTTTTGCTAAAGCGTTGGGTATTTCGGTTTACAGTTCAGTTTTTAGAAAATAATTAAATCTTGTTAGACGTGAATTCTTTCTGTTTTTACCGTTGCAATGTCGAAGTGTCGAAAAAATGTTTAACAGAGCATGAAATAGCAGAAATGATGCAAAATATTTCAGATATTAATTCTGAAACAGATTCTGATAGTAGTGATAGTGATACTATGATATATTCTGATCATAAAGAATCTGGCGAATCTAAAATCTGCATACAGATGTCCGAAATGTCCTCATCATCAATGTCGTTATTACGAGTGCAAGAAATGTAACATAGGACTGTGTGTAGATCCCTGTTTTCAAATTTTTCATACGAAAAGAGAATTTTAAGTAATATGCTTAGTTTTCCAATGTATAATGTTAAAAGTCATAAAATGGTGAGTAATGAAAATAACATGTGTAAAATATGCATTTAAACAAGAAATAAGGTAATTAAAGTATATATAAAAATTATCTATAAAGCATAAGCCATTTAAATACTCTATAGAGCATTATTAAACAATGTGTTGATACTTCGGAAATTTCATGGATTTAGGCTTAATAGCAAAAAAGCCCCCGGCCCTGGACAGATGCTCGCGTACGACACTGCCGGCCTCCGCGATAAGCGCGCGTTTGCGCTACCCGGTGCAAAGGGGTTAAGTTATATTATGCTAATGTGCTATATTATGCTACTCCTATGTGTCATGTATTGCCGTTACGCAAAACATAAGATCTTTAACTTATCTTCCATATACACTGCCCTCCAAAAGTTAAATAACAGCAGGTTTTTTGTGTCTAATTTGAAAATGAAGCAACATAGAAACAAGGCATTTACAGTACATGCTCATTAAAGAGTTCTTTAATGAATGCGACATAGAATCTTTCTGAAGTTCAACAAACAAGAATTACAGCAAAAAATTGCACCCTTGGCAGAGAAATCCAGTCTTGGAGAAACAGTATATCACAGTTTTTTGAGGAAGAGTGGGGTGATAACATTACAAAAATGGGTTCTAATAAGTAATGTGTCCGCCCCTAGCCGCAATACATTGGCGGTAGCGATGTGCCATGCTGTCAATTAAGTTATCGGTTAGTGAAATGGGAAGCAATGCGCAGACATGGAGTAATCTGTATTCAAGCTCATCTAATACCTCTGAGAAGGACTTAAGCAGCATTCTGTCTTTTAAGGTAGTCCCAAAGATGCTGTATTGGATTTAGGTCTGGAGACTGAGCTGGCCATTCCACCCACTCCATACTGTAACCCTCAAGATATTCTTCATCAACCCAAGCTTGAAGCAGTCGCTGATTGTTGTCCATCAGAAGAACTCCAGGACCAATAACAGTGGCATATGGGCAGATATATTGATCAAGGATCTCATCTTGTTATCTCAACACCAGTTAGAGTTCCTTCATGGAACACATGCAAGTCAGTGTGACCACTGAGAGAGATCCCAGCTCAAACCATTATTCCCTGTCATCTGTAACTGTGTCTTTTCACAATGTGGGACTGATTGTATGTGGTGTGTTGTTCCCTATGGATCAACTGATGAGCTAAGTCACTCTCCCATGTAAATCTGGGCTGATCTGTGAAAAAAAAAAGTTGCCATTGCTGAGTGGTACAGGAGACATGTTCTCCTGCCCAACGAGCACCTCTGTGTCCTCAGGTGAAGGTAACACAAACAACTGGGTATCTTGCCTACAGATCTGTTTTGTGCAGGCATCTTGCACTGTAATAGCTCAGATTCTTGTTCCTGTTACCACTAAATGATCTGCCATGAACTCAATGTTGCTTCTCTTCAGGCAGAGCTAAATAAAATCTCCTTCAGGTTTTGTAACTCTTGGTCTGCCTGAAATATGTCTTCTAGATACAGAATCGATCTGATTTCATAGTCACTGGATCAACTATGAGAGACATCTTGCAGGATCAGCTTGTGACATCACCATTTCTGTCCATCCAACTGCCCGCCACCTCAAGGAATTGGGCAAACAACTTCTTCTGGACATTGAAAAAATTTCCTGGATAATGTCAACAAAATTGCTTATAACAATTGATGATCAACACTCATGAACAAAACTTACAATTTTTGCTCCAAGTCTTATATAAGTATTCATTTCTGTAAAATAAAAGTGGTAGCTATTGTGTTTGTGTGTATTTTCATGACCATCATGCATATAGATTATGAGTTTAAATGTTACTGACATTTTTTAATCATGAGCTTTGAAAAATATGATGTTCCTTAACTTTTGGAGGGCAGCGTATGACACACTTATCACCAAAGTGTTTTCAGTTCAGCAGCATGCTGTGACAGAGGGGTTAAATTGGGACAGATGTTAAAACCACTCTTCCGAGTGGGCCTCATAAGTTTTAATTTGGATTAAGTTCAAAGATTATTTAGTAATTAGTTTATTTAGTAATTATCTGTATCTATCAAAAAAAATCATTCTGATTTGTTCAGTGTGAGCATATGTTATCAATTAAAGGCAGAATTCGTGTAATCTGCTTTTCAAGTTTTGGAGGTGCACATGAGCCTCTGGAAACCTTTACACAGGGTTGTTAAGCTTCAGCTCTATATCTGTGGAGTTCATTGATCATTATTTTTCCCCATATTGCCATATCTGCACCCTTGCAGTGTTATATTTTGTATTGTTGGTGAGAATAGTTTGTATTGCTGGTGCTCTTTAGATATAAATGCTTTTAGAATCAGAGGCTGAAATAAATCTAATTTGTGGCTGAAGAGGGAAAAAGAAAGCTCATTGTTGTAGACTTCAGCTTTGGTGTTGTCAGCATCAGTCTCCTTTCCAGGCAAGTCTCTTTTTTTATTGTGATGCTGGTGAAGTGTAAACTAGAACTAATTGTAGCATAGGACAATTACAGATGAAAACATCATAAAAGGGATGTTTTCTTTTGCAGCCTTGTCTCAGTATCTTAACTAGAGTTCCAGAGTATTTTAAATTGCTTACAGTGGATATAGCCTTATTTATGGTGTGAAATGTTCAACCATGTAACTGCTTCTGTAATTCTCGATGTGTTGTTTCTAAATGGCTGACAAATCTTCATTTGCAAAAATTCTTCAAAATGCTATTTAGATGCTTAAAAAGGGAGGTGACTTTTATAAACACTGAAATTGAATTCTGAATTGCAACAGTTTTGATGATGTCATGCCATTATTTGCATTTTAGAAACAACCTAATCATTATTTTATTTATACAAATGAAAGATAACTTTCAGTATTGGTGCATCTGGGCAAGTAAATGAATGGTGTTATATTGTGAGCAAAATTAGAGATTAATTAAATAATGACTGAGAGATATTTTAATTGTGTCACTTGCAAGCTGCTGCAATATAACATTTTGGTTAAATTCGAGGATGGTTAGGTTATCCAAATGTACAACTATATGTTTGGTATGCATATTGTATTTTTAATCTTACACTTCTGTATTTCAGTTATTGGTATGATTTTTTTCCCCTGATCTGACCTTGGTTTTCCTCAATAAAATGAAAATAATGTCAATTGTTTGTATTTGCAGTTGAGATTTGTGAGACAAGTTCAAGATGCTTCTAATCCTAGATCGGAAGACAGTGAGATCAAAAATAAAAGCACAAATGATATGGCAGTTAATATGGCTATTCAACAGGTTTCAAATACAGAATTACCAGCAAAATGTGAGGAAAAATCTGAAGTAAATCTAAATATTGGAAATTCTGTAGTGAAAGATATTGTGGCACCTTCTAAAGATCCTGAGAACAAAGTTTCTGAAATGGTTAATGTGGTGGTGGAAACGGAAAACACTGCACAAGTGTCACCCACAAGTACAGAAAAAGAGAGTGTTGCTGAAAGTTCAGTTGTGATAAACAAGGTAAACTCATTGTCCATAAATTATTTCTTTTCCATTTATGAACTAATTTATTTAAATATGAGTATTCAGTTTTTAAGTTGTTAAATTTATATTGACATTTTTGTGATTTATTTTTACTTATTTTTGGTTTATTTATAACATATTTCCAGTTTGGAAGAAAAGTTTGCTTTGTTACAGAGTATGTTTATTTCTTATGCTAAATAAATTTTTAATTGTGCTAAAAAATTTTACAAGTAATGTAATTAAATATTATTCCAGCAGGGTATCTTTTATGGTTTCTAACTTATGTAGCAATTCTTACACAAATGTTAATTTTTAAGTAGTTAACAATAAATATGAGTTTTCCTTTGAAAAACCTGTCACAAAAAGTAGCTTCATTTAAATTGTGTGAATAGAAGTAATAATATTGTTGACTAAATGCCAAATTTAACCTGAATTGGATTTGTAAGTCACATTTATTTATTCTCATAAATTTTTCTTCTTCAGCTCATTATTTTTGAGCAAAATAAGATAACCCATATATATCATTCCATTTTGCATTCTGTACTTTTTCATATATAAAAAATCTTAATGTATATCATATATGAAAAATCTTGCTAGCAAAATTGCAGATAAGGTCATAATTTTATGTTGTCGTGTAATCTCCTTTTCATATAACATAAAACAGAATAAATGTAATTTTTTAAATGCAGATTTAAAAAATCCAGTAAATTACCTTTTTATGATATAGGAAGATGAAATATTTTAATTATAAAAATTAATTTTATAATATTAATAACTTAAACTTCAGGAAGTGTGTAATATCCACTATTTTAAGTTACTAATTCAAATTCAAAATACTAGTAATGCTTTGCTCTTGTTCAGTATTTTTTACTGGAAACATATTATCCAAAAGCTGATACTTTATTTTTCATCTGTAAAGTTGTTGCCTTGCATATAATTTATAGGTATGAGGTATGATAGAAAGGTATGATAGAAGGTATGATAGAAAATAGAATATGTATGTAAATTTAAAGTAAATCTTTATTCTTTTCACTTCTTTAAACAAAATCATTATTAAGGCTTTAAATAATTAATAAACACAAGAAATGGAGGTAATAAAACTTTGAGACTACCTATATTTCAATACAATTCCTGTTTTGTATTAAAGTGTACCTTCCATACAGCTTGTGTGCTTTCTACATTGAGGAATTTTTAATTTCATGATGATAGATATAATACTGCATGGATGCTGAGAGAATATCAGCATCCATGCAGTATTACGGCAGTGTAAATTAAAAAAAAAAAGTGTTTTTCTAATGTGACCATACCTTCTGTATTTTCCGAGACAGTCCTGAATTTTCAGTCCCTGTCCTGACTTTCCCTTAGAAAGTCCTCCACGAAGGCATCCCTCCCCTTAGGCAAATAGCCCTCCAGGCTTTGTCGTAATTAAATAACCAACCAACTAACCAACCATTAACATTAGTGCTTACAGGGATATTTAAAATTATTAGGGATGTATTTAATAGACATAAAAATAAGGGATATTAAAAAAGCATAAAAGATTTCATTTTTTCTACATGTTTAAAACATTTGTCTGATGAAGGTTTATTTTAAAACTTTAGGATGCTCCAGAGTAAGTTTTTTTTTTTTTAAAATTATATAGAGTAATAATCTCTTGCTCTGTGACACAGCTTTGTTGTTCTAAAAATTGTAGGTATTTTTCACCAAGTTCCAGACCCTCATTAAAAGATATTTTCTCACTTCTATCAAATTCACTGTCTGTGTCGGTGTCAGAATTGTCTTCTTGCTGTGGCGAGTTGAAAACAGAGCCAATGATTTCATCATCAGTCATCTGATATGCCAGCATTGGCTCATCTGAACACATCATCCATTCAACAATATCTTCTTCTTGCAAAGCCTCCTCATTTATTTTTTCTTTTGAAAATAAAAGCAATTCTCTTTCTTTAATCCTTGCTGCACTGACCCTAAAACCAAAAAAATCACTGTCATCACTCTCAGTTTCAATAAACAGAGAATATGGCCATACATTATGCCAGGTATTTACTAATTTTGTTTGGGAAACAGAATTCCATGATTCAGCTAACAAATAAATGCAGTCTTTGATGGTGAATTTTTTTTTTATAATCACAAAGTAGAACAGAATGGTCATTTGAAAGAAATTTTTTTCAGAAACTGATTTATAGTGTCATTTAATACTGTGTATTATGCCCTGGTCCATTGTTTGGATCAATGATGTAGTATTTGGGGGCAAAAAAAGGGCCATGACATTATCACATGTTAAAATAGTTGTATCTGGATGTGCAGAGCAGTTGTCTGACAACAGTAAAATCTTGCAATTTGATGGTAACCCTACACTGTTACATTGCCTTCTAGCCTCTTTAATGAAATGCTCCATGAACCATTCAGTCATAAGTTGTTTTGTGAACCAGGAATTTTTATTACTCCTATAAATCACAGGCAAGGATTTTACTCCTTTCAGACCTCTAGGATTGGTGCTCTTGCCCACTACCACTGGTTTACATTTGTAAGTTCCAGCTGCATTGCTACACAATAAAATGCTAACTCTTTCTTTAGCATCTTTCACCCCTGCACTTTCTTCACTTGTCACAAATGTCTTTCTTAGCAAACATTGCCAAAAATGTCCTGTCTTGTCCATATTAAAAACCTGTTCTGGGCTGAGATTTCCTTCTGCCACTAACGCAGAAAATTCATCAATAAACTCATCTGCAGCATCTTTATCTGCTGAAAGTTTTTCCCCACATGCTTTCAGATAATGTAGTGTTACGGATTTCGTATTTAAATAGCTAATGTTAGTTGAATTATAAATTAAACTTTTTAATTCCCTGTGCAGTGTAGCGCGTGATGCTACACTTGAGTGTAAATGTTGAGTGTAAAAATACAAGAGCATGTGCTCTTGTATTTTTAATTTTCTGGCTTAGCTTTCCTTTAATATTCATCATGCACTACACTGCACGGGGAATAAAACAATTTAATTTATAATTCAACTAACATTAGCTATTTAAAAATGAAATCCGTAACACTGCCCTCTTCCCAAGGACTGTTTGTCCCAGGCAGTATAATCCCTGGACAGAAAGCCAAATTTAAAACTAAAGGCATAAATGCAATAATAAGCGTTACATTACAATAACAACAAAAAAAAAAAATGAACAGTAAATGCAATCAAATACTAAATACAAATCAAATTCTATCAAACACTAAATACAAATAAAATCAAATACACAATTAGAAACAAAAAGGACCATGGTCTTACACTATTTACAATTACTTACACTACGTACTATGGCCATAGTAATGAGCTAACCTGTTGTAATGAACGACTTTAGGTTTAGAGTTCGAAAACTTACGGATCTGAACCATGACATCATTCAGCCTGTTTAGGACTGTGTGCGGACCATCCCAACGTGACTGTAATTTAGGCCTGACACCTTTTCGTCGAATCGGTTCTCCGAATGATGGTAACATTAGATCCTGTGTCAATAATCATATTGCAAGGAACTCCATCGATATGCCCATTGATGGACAGTCCGTTACTGTTGCCATTCACTGTAGAAATCTTGAACACTTTGAAACAAGGTTTTTTCATTATCTGGCAACCTCCGTTCCTCGATATGGCCTTTCATTTGTTTCCTGCGTTGTTGCTGGGAAATGATCTTATTTTCCGTACCCTGGGGTATTCTGCAATCCTTTCGTACATGGCCTTCAGCTTCACAGTACCAACACTTTGGTTTCTTGTCACTCCTTTTCGGTCCCATGACATTTAATTGTCTGTTTAACCCGCTTTTCTTATTTTCCGTGCTTTGGGGTGTTCTGCAGTTCCTTCATATGTGGCCTTCAATACCACAGTTCCAGCACTTTAGGGTTGGATTCTCCTCACCAATATTCCGTCTCAAGGCATTCACTGGTCTTGTCACATCATCCGTTTCATTATCCGTGCCCTGGGGTGTTCTGCAATGCCGTCGTATGTGCCCTTCAGCTCCACATTTCCAACACCTTAGAGCCACTTTGTTCTCACTCCTACTCCATATCAAAGCGTCGACTTGTCTGGATAAATCATCTAAATGAGCCAACAATTGATCCACTGGCTCGGGGACTTGCACAGCTCTGACTGGGTAGCGGTCTCTACGAGTGGCTTGCTGGGCTGCCTCAAATTTCATGGTGTACACTAAAGCGTTTTTCAAATCTTTAACATCCGCCATTCGCAGAGCTTTCTGTATTTCAGGATCCCGGATGACGTCGATGAAGTATTGCAGGGACAGGATTTCCCTTGTTTCTCTCGGGCACTCCGTAAAGGCGAGGTGGGACAGCCTTTTCAACATCCGTGGCGAGCTTCCTGGAGTGTTTCGGTGGGCTTCTGTTGACGGGATTTTAATTGAAGCCTGCTGTAGTCTTTTAAAAATTTCTCGCCAAAGCGCATTGCTCCAATGCGCCGGATAGAGCTTCGAAGTCAAGTCCTTTGGTTTTCGGGAAGCGTCTGCAGGATATCCGCTGCGTCTGCTCTCAGAGAAGCGGCGAGATGACAAGGCCTTAGTTTGGGGAATCCCATCCATTCGCATTCCTGCCAACGATAGAAAATTGTGTTTTATACACTTGCCAGGAGGTCTTCCCATGTATATGTAGGATAGTCTTCAGAAACAGGACGAGCAGGCATCGGTAAAAATTTAAAACCCTCAGAATTGCTTCCCTTTCGTTCGCTACGATCTTCTTTAAAGTATCAACTTCTTTCGCAACGGCTGAAATCTTATCATCAATTTGTTGTTCGACGTCAGAAACTCTCTTCTCTATATGTTCTTTTACAGAAGAAACTCTCTCTTCTATTTCTTCTTTCACCGAAGAAACTCTTTCTTCAATTTGATGCTTTACGGAAGAAACTTTTTCTTCAATTTGTCCAACTTTATTTTTAACATGTCCATTCTGTCCTCCATAGCCTCAAATTTGTTTTCTATTATGCAGGTAATTTCCCTTTTCCTTTCTTCTTG